TGAAGGGTGGTTGAGTTAGTGATTAGTTGTCAAAGCTGGGCAAAGGAATTGGTGAGTGAATGGGTTAAAGGAGTTAGATTAAGTAAAGGTTATATATGCGTTAGAGGAAGGAAAACAGGTTGTCAAAGTAGAAAGTGTGAGATTCTGCAAGGATGTCTGATAGGTTGGGAGGTCGGTGAAGGGAGGGATAGGTGGGGGGAAAGCAGAGGTACAGGCTGCTTCAAAACGTGGGAATGACAATAGAATGTGTGGGACTGAAAGAGGAACATTACATAAGGAACAAAGAGGTGGATCGGATTGTGACATCAGAGAAGAGTATGAGTGGAAGGGGATACTTGTGATATAAGGGATTCACGTGTGTGAAGTGACGTGTGGGTAATAGTAGAAGGGATTGGTGAAGGGACCGAAACGAAAAATTAGGAGTGGAAAAAAGACCATGCAAAATTAGTTGAGTCGAGGGCTGAGTCCCAAGGTTGGGGAATTCCCCATCATTGGGTCCCAGTCTCCGCCTCCTAAGCCCCCCCCACGACAACAGGCATGGGATTGGTGGTGCCTGTTAGGAAATACCGAATACATCTCGGAATTAATCGAAAAATAAGAGAATATATTATTGACTGTAAAATTATTATTTCAGTAGAGTGGCCTATTACTTTAATGACACGACTCTGTATTTCTCAATTACTTGATATTATAATAATTTCTAATGGAAGTCATGTAGTACATAGTACTCATAAAAACTCAATAGTTTTTTTGTTTTTTTTTTATATGCCTTTTTCACCTAGCAACTCTAGTGTGCAATCCGTTAAGGATACTTCGAGTCTCTACTTGTTTGTCCTTGAAAGAAGCTACCCGTTGTGGTATTAACTCTTGTGTGATTTGTTTAATCATTTCTGTGAATTCTATCAATTAAAGGTTAGTAAATGCAGATGTCAGCATTTATATGTTGTTCCCCATTTGCTTTCTCAAGGTTTGTAAGGGAAAAATGTTTCAGAACCCTACTTTCTTAAAAAATAAGGAAAAAGTCATGTGTATTGTTACGCCGGCCGCCTCTCTACCTGCCACCAACACGAGGCAGGCTAGGCAGACGGCGTGTTATCCACAGGGTCGTGAACACTGAACAGCTCCAAGAGGCACCGGGTACTACGCCGTCCCAAAACACCATAAGGGGAAACGCCACGGGCGAGGCAGGGCACGAAAGAAAAAGCTCACAATGACAGTCTTTCCTATATTTACACCAGTTATTTACCCGAACACAGAAGGGCACACAGGCGGTCATCACGGGAGCGGCACCAAAAACCCTGTCCTCTCCGCCCGCTCCCCAGCCACCCGCGTCATTTCCATGCTAAAACACGTTAACACGCGTTCGCACAGAGACAAAGATCCTCTGGCGTAGCAGTATATATACATGACGATGACACAGTTTGAATGGAACGATTGTGTTAAATCCCGTGGTGATGATTTCTTTGCGCAATTATGTTGCCTGTGATTCTTCGGTTCACTTGAAGCTTGATAAGATCTAATATAAAGCTTACAGTCTCTCGTCTCGTCCAAGCCGGTAGTGCCATAGCGGCCTCTTCGACATTGTTTGTACAACAAACTACTCAGGTTATGGCTGAGTAGTTCTTGGTTTGGTTTGTGGTGGAAAGTTGCTCGTCTTTCCTATAACATCGATTGAGGCCAGGTAAGGGTTATGCAACATTGGTGAAATAGTAGGGTTTAAGGGTACTTTACTGAAGAATAAGGAAGCTGATAATTTTATAATCATGTTTATTCTATATTGCTCAACAGCCAATATAATTAGGGTAGGGTAGTGTTTCCTGAAGAGTAATCGACTCATACCCAATTCCTTTGACATTTGATAATAAGAGTATTATACAGATTGTAAAATTGACATACCTATATTAGCAATTCATGTAAAATTCGCCCCGGATTTATGTTGCGTCCCCTGAAGTTTTTGGTGTATGTGCTCAGCCGGCAAGGAGTCTATCAGTCAGCCCTAGTTACCGATCTGACATCAATAATAATTTAGACAATGAAATAATACAAAAGACTCTCTTAAAGTGAAAGAAAAGGGTAAACAAGTGAGATAGGTAGTTCCAATAACTGGCTATTTGGTGATTAAGAACTTGTAGAGTCATCTGTGTGTAAATACAATAAATAAACTTGTATTACAGTGGGCATGGCATGTATTCTTGCCAAATGGGGCGAATGGGTTAATGAATTTCAAACAAAGGAGAACTATTTTGCAGGTAAAAAAAAAGTAAATGTGTAATTATACAAACATTCATATTTATAAAATGTATGTCATATGTTTCATATCATTTGTGATAAATTGCATGTCTTCTTATCATATCCTACTTCAGTCTGGGAGATAAGGACAGTTGCCAGGTGAGATTAGTTTAGATTTTTTAATGTTCCTATATATATGTCTTATTGTATCTCACAGCAGTTCTCCCAGGATTAGAGTACATATTGGGATTTCTCATAAGTCTTTTGAAGATATATAACCTATTGGATCTGGGTGCCTAGTGGCCTGCATATCTACCAAAATCTTTGCATTAGGCTTACTTGAGTGTTAACCCTCTTAGGTGTGTGGTTTGTAAGTCTATTCCACGTGAAAATTCAGGTGTGGTATCAAAACACTTTGCCTCCTCTTTGAAATGTTATTATCTCCTTTTTGTGCATAAGCATATTTTGCTTGTTTGCAGTTTTTGGAGGTCTATAATTGTCATTTGTTGAGTTTCAATAATCAGACTCCATTGTATCTCTCTCTACAGCTCTGTGCAGTAACAATAAATACAGTTGTGTTATTAGTGGGGGGTTTTTATGTGTTATTAGTGTCTTTTGTATATATTGTGTTATTAGTGTCTTTTTTTATATTTTCATATTCAGTTTTCTGTAATGCATTCTGCACCACTGGTCATGGTGGGCAGGTATAGGAACTTTAGCATGGAAATAGAGTCCTCCCTGGAACTAGTGCTCTTCTAGGCTCATGGATGGTACATTCCACCCTCATTTACATGTGGAGTAATGCTAGAGCCTAAATGTTCAATCAGTCTAACCTTCCTCCAAGAGCTCTATACACTCAGCACAAGTCATTTCTCTCTCCCTAACAGTATATTCTCATATTCGTCATTCTACTAGAAATTTCCGTGACGTGAAGGTCACATCACCTGAATAGACTTTTAAAAAAATATTCAAACTGTAGTCTCTTATATATTTTTATATTCTCAAAGGTTAGAAAAGAAAGAAATACAAGATGGTGCGTGCTTGGTACATGGACAGCAGTGACGAGGACCAGAGAAATGAGCATCACCTTTCCCCCCCAGAATACGTGACCCTTGAGAAACTTCGTGCTGATACTGGAGTTTTATACTGGAAGGTTGGTACACTGAAGACACTTGCCTTGGAGTCTTTGAAATTACTTATATTGGTTAATCAGTGCCTGTTTACGGATGTCATGAATTTTCATCTTAGATTGTGTGATGAAGCAATTCTTAGAGCATGAATTGTAAATTACAATTTCTGATTTCAAAAATCATTTTTCAGTCATGGAGTCTGATCTTTTCATAAAGGAATATGCCAGATAAAAAATAGTTAGATATAGTTTTACATTTACTTGCAAATTACTAATATTGCAAATCTGTTCTAGTTGGATGAGAAAAATTTTGAACCTGAGCTTGAGAAGATTAGATCCAGCCGAAGCTACTGCTACTCAGATGTCATCGAAGTCTCACCAGAAAAGCTCCCGAGTTACGAAGAAAAGGTTAGTACCCACTGGTTTCCCGGTCATGTTTATGGGTTCATGAATGTTGTTTGAATTTCCAGATCCCACTTTGCATTGCTTCATGAATAATAGCTGTACGTTCCTGTTGGGATAGATTTCTGTATCCATGAGATTTCTGTATCCATGTACAGTATAAACATTTTTTGGAGGGTTATAAATTAATGGAAATGGAGTGTAATGGAAGTTGTAATAAAATTCTAAAAACTGAATCTGTTAAATTCCATCTGACATCTTGAATTAACCCAATTAACACGAGTGGCAAGACTGCAATACCATACCCACTGTAATAAAAGTGTATTATTTTCACACATTGATGGCTCTACAAATGCTTAGTCACCAAGGAATCAGCTTTTCCTTGATTTTTTGAAAGCTTCATTATATTATTTTATTGTCTTTGATATTATTAATATTTTAATAACAATTTAATAATCATAATATCAGTAAGATTGAAAACAATGTCAATATAAATAGTACTAGAAAGAAAAAACACATTTTCCTGCAAATTTGAGGAATGGGGAAAGCAGGCACAGTCATTAGGGCCAACTGATAGACCCCTTGATGGCTGAGTAAACGTGGAGCCATCTGTATGTAACAAAATTCACAAAAACCTAAAGGGGACAGTACATGAACACACACACATTGGGTTAATGAAAGGATGATTTTTTTTCCATTGTTTTTATTATTATTGTTATTATTATTATTATTATTATTATTATTATTGCTATTGATTATGATTGCTATTATATAGTGTGCATACATGAGATTTTAATATAATGCGTGATACAGACATTAACTTGGATTTTTTTTTGTGATTACAAACAAACATGAAACTTTGTTATGTCTTTGATTTGCTACATTAATCTATTAATGCCAGGAATGCTTTTATACAAGGACTGTCCACACATTTTGTTTTATTATACTTTTACACATGGGGACTCCTCTTGTTTACCCTCTTCCTAGAAATTGTGGTAGTTTTTTTTTTATTATTATTACTGTTGTTATTAACCCATTGCCGCCAGGGAAAATGAATGGAGGAAATGCAGTACTCATTTTTTATATTTTTGTGAAATATCTCTGTCCATATATGGCTCTGCTAGTCCTGATTTCACCTTTCCTTGAATTGGCGGGAAAAAACGTATTTTTACTAGTGCTATAAATATAGATGGTATTATTTTTAACAGCAAATTAGGATAACGTTAAATATTTTCCTAAATCGATGAAAAGGGTGAACGGGCGAGACAGGCAGTACTCGTAATTGGCTCATTGGATACTTAGTACAAGTGTAGCCATCTTTGTGTAAAAACAATCGAACAAGTCGACTCACAGTGGGCATGGTTTGTACATACATGCCATCCCCGGCAGCAATGGGTTAATAATATTATGATGTTATTGCTAATAAGAGTAATAATCTTGATAATAATTATGATAAACCTAAAATAGAGGATTGAGATAAGTTGGTGAGATCGACTGGTCTTAGTATCTGAGTCCTTGGGGACTAAGTGCCTGTGGAACCATCTACGTATAAAAAGAATTAATGAGACAAAACCTTAGTGGAGACTACTGGACATCAGTAGGTTAATTACATTGTAATATCTATAATCCAATTGTGGTTTGCTTTTTGCCATAGGTTGTAAGAACTTATTGATGAATCTGAGTTTATGCTTCATTTAGCTATTAATCCCCTCCCTAATCATCACCCTCAGCTCAAAAACTTTTACGAGGAACACATCCACACTGATGAAGAAATTCGTTTTGTCCTGGAAGGCTCTGGCTATTTTGACATTCGAGACAAGGAAGACAAGTGGATCAGGATTGAAGTGATAGCTGGAGACCTCCTGATTCTCCCAGCCGGAATCTATCACCGATTCACCTTAGATAAGAAGGTAAAAAATGAATGAGAGATGTTTCTAGGAATTGGTAGGATACTTTTATTATTACTGTGAGTGATTTCTGGTAACGTATCTGGCATCCTCTCCCTAGGCTGTAGAGTTGAAATGAAAAAAATAGCAAACACCCCAATTAAACATTAATTTTTAGTTTTAGTAAAGCTACATGTATAGAGTTCTAATTAAATTGACTAGATTGAATGAAATTGTATACATGTTAGAACTGCAAGAAAAAAAAAAAAGTTAATAAACATCTTTTCAAGTTTACCATCAGAAAGAAGCAAGTTTTGAAATCTTTGTGTTAAGAAATTCAATTGATTAGTATTATGAAAGAAGAGGACAGCTTACTGTTTAGATGATTACTTGAAATATCAGTCAACTAGTTAGATTATCTGTCCAGTCTCTTCTTCATTTTTTTGTTAAACGAGGCATTTCCTTTTTGTTTTTGTCATTAATTTTCATTTGTTTCCTATTTCTTTATAACAATTTTTTTTTTTTCTTCTTCTTCTTCTTCTTCTGTCTTAGTAAATGTTTTACCTCCTTCACAGAACTATATCAAGGCCATGAGACTGTTTGTCGGGGTTCCAGTATGGACTCCGTACAACCGACCTGCTGATGACATGGACGCTCGCAAAGAGTATGTAAAGAGGCAGAAAGTAGGCTTTACTGAGGAATAAAGGCAGAAGAAAAGAATCAGATATGATGGGGCTTTCTTTGGATGATGTTGTTTTGTAAATTTTGAAATCTGGGAGGACTTTTGCAGATTACTGTTCATTGTTTCATTGCTATTTGGTAGCTTGTTGTTGAAAATAGTACTGTTGATATATTATATGACTAGTTTTCCTCTTTTTTACATGTCTAAAGGCTGTATGCAGTTTGTGCAAGTATTTTTTTTAATATATATGTTATGGTACAAGTGTATCTGTATTCATTGTAAAGAATTAGATTATTGAATCTAGAGATTGCTATGAAGGAAAATATATTGCTTAAATATATCTGTTAAATTTTAAATTTACTGAAGACTGTATAATTCAGACTTGAATTATAAACTGTCACTTTTCATGTTGATTAAATGGACAGATTTTTTTTTTTTTATGTTTCATGATTTGTTTTGTAAGTGATTGGCCTGTTGTGATAGAATATTGCCATGCATTCTTATTGTTATATTGCTGACTTACATAGAATTCAAATTCTAAATGAATATTTTTGTAATATTGAATTTCCATTATATGATACCCTGTGAAATGTTAGTGTTTATATGACTTTGCATGCATAGGTTATGAAATTAATTATGAACCCTATTATTTTGATATTAAGCAACACATCTATGAAAGGATATTACAAATATTGAATTAAAATATTTGAGAGACACTAACTTTTCCAGGTATTAAGACAGCTAAAAAATATTATATGTATTTCACATTGTACAGTACAGAAGTTAATGTACAGTATTTTATAAGAAGCAAAGGTAATTATGTTTTATATGGTAATGTCTTCCAGTTATTAAATGTATTTATATTTCTACATTTAATCCGTTAGATTACACATAACATTAATGATATGATTATCAATCATTCTCGTTTGAATTTGTTTTCCAAAAGAGAAATGCTGTATATTTTACGTTTTGAAAATGTTGGAGAATATTTTGAATATCAGATTTTAAAAAAAAATTGTATCATATGTAGTATACAACATTCGTGTCATGAGTGGAATATTTTGTTGTTGTTTTTTGGATTTATTTTTGTAAAATGTTTCTTGATAAACAGGCAGTATATTGTTGAATAAAGAATGTCCAGGATTTTTTTCAGTGACATCTGTTACCTGTTC